GGAACCGATATGCTGGCAGTGGGTTTAGTTTGAGTTTTGGTTATTCTTCTCAGTTAGGTTTTTGGAGATTTTTTCTTATAAATGCATACAAATACATTTCATTTCTTTCTTCTTTTTTTCCTCAATGTTTTATCTTGGAAAACTCCAAATATATAAAAAAGCAAGAATAGGACAATGAACTCCCATATACCAGTCACCTATGTTCATCAACTTGTTAATATTTTGCTACATTACTTTCTTTCTTCCTTTTTATTTTTTTACTTTTATTGTGGTGAAAACATCTACAAGACATTCTCCAACATAACAACTTCCACATTGACAGCACAGGGACATTGATGACATTTTTCATGTTGTACCACCACTATTACTATCCTTTTCCAAAATATTCTACCACCATCAGCATAAACTTAATACCTTGTGAACAAAAGCTTTCCCTTTCCCCCTCCCTCCTACCCCTGTTGTTATTTGATATCGAGTCAGACCCAACTCATAGAGACCCCTCCCTTGGTTTCCAAGGCAGTATCACTACAGAAGTAGATCGTCCAACTTTCCTTCCAAGGAGTGGAAATGATTTTGAGTTTTGTTCTACGTTGTTCTCTCTGTCTATCTAGAATCTCCTACATAGATCCTCTTCCAAGTGGTTGACAGTGGTAGTCAGGCACCATGTAGTTCTTCTGGTCTCATAATTGTATAGGCTGCAGATCGGATCATGTACCAGTCACTAGGACTAATTGTTTCCATGAATTTTTGGTTTTCCTCATTCTTCTTGGCTCTGGATGAGGAGAGACCCATCGCTGCATCTAGATGGCAGCTTGCAAGCTTTTAAGATCCCAGTCACTACTTGCCACAGTAGGAGGTGGAACAATGTTTTGTGTAGTATGTTATCCCAATTGAGCTTGATGTCCTTAGAGGTAATTTTTAAAATTTAGTTATTGGCTATTTAGATTTCATCTCATGTGAATTGCATGTTTGTTGTCTTTCCATATTTTTACTATAGTAATCTTTTGCTTTTTGTCTCCCACATTTTCACATCATTCTATAATCTCATTTTAATACTCTCTAGCTCAACATTATGATGTTTGTTATGAGACAAGTCTGTGCCTTTAAGTGGTGGGCAGTACCAGTATCATTTGTTTGTTTATGTAAAAATACTCTTATTGGGCTTTTCCTATTACAGAGGTAATGGTGTGTTTAATTTTAAAAATTTAGAAAATCCAGCTACTTAAGAAGAAAATAAAAATGATTTCTAATACCATCACCCATATACAATGGTATTAATATTTTAGTGCATATCCTTCTACTCCCTCACCAAACTCCTAACATAATTTGTTGGATTACTTTCCTTTTTTTCCCACAGGTTTGTGAATTTACTCTTACTATATACTAATCTTTTTTAAAACCTAGAATCTATTTCTAAGTGATCCTTACTGCTATCTGTATTTGTCTCTGTGTTATTGTGCCTGAATTTATAGAACCAGCTCCCCCTTACTTCTCTAGAGTTTAGGTTGGGTATACATGACTCGTATGTCAATCTAAGTTGTGACTGGGTCTTCAGTTAAATTTAAAATGCATTAGAAATTTGAATAGAGAACAGGCTCACCTTAAAACTACGAGATCTCATCACATTGTTTTTAAATCAAATCAAATCAGATTTACAAATGTCCTCCCATAAATTCTGGGCACAGGGAGATCCTGAAATTATTACTAAGCAAGTCTTCAAAATGGAAATTGATTGTCCAAATCCTATATTTTACTAATTTATTGTGTATGAAATGTTATTAACATCTCTTTTCTTCATTCTTTCATTTCTTCCTTCCTTTCAGGGGGCTTTCATTGATTCACTCAGGAGTTTTTTTTAACCCCTATCTCATTTTCTCATAGGCTTTAAATTCCTCAATTGCACCTTCTTGTACTTGATGGCTTTCAAGACCAAAATCCCTGATGTTGAGAAGTAGACTACTGAATGGGTACAAAATCTTAAAATTTTATGGTTCTGGCAGGTAAGAATCTTGGCCATTTCAGTACTGAAAGTGACCCCTTAAGCCCTAAACTTAGTATCCTGACTCAGTCCCTTCAGCATTTCTTTGTTTCAGAGGAAAAGGGAACCCTTTCAGATGGGTGTGCACTATCAGTTTACCACAATTCTCACTACTCCCTATTGTCCCATCTCTGCTTCAGCTGGCTGAATGCCAGATGCCATTTATTCCCATGTCTGTGCTATGGGTTTTCTCTGTTCCTTGTTTATCCCATCACAGTACAACCTGAACCACATTTTCTGTCCAGAAATCTGGAAACCTCAGGCAAGGTTTTTAACTAAATCAGCTTTTTCTTCTGTTCATTTAAGTCCAATCGACCTGTGATTATTTCTCATAAGAATCACTTGAAATATATGTGAAAAGGCTTTAAAATCATTAAAATCTACCAAATAGAAGCTATTTATAGGAGGCACATAATTTCTAACATTTAATTTTACATTGTATTAATACAAATCCATTACAGTTCAATTTTTTTTTTTTTTTTGGTATTATGGGACAGTAAATATTTTTTTATTATTAATCTTTTTACTTGTTTCCTTTTTGCCTTCCTTTCTCCTATATGCTTTTCCTTCTTTGTCTTTTTCTCTAACTCTTACTTCTGAAGTACAATGTCAGTAATCAGGTCATTACATTTTTCTATTAAAATTCACACTTTAGTCTTTTTATAGTGTTGGCCTAATTTAAATACTGGCATTATGCACTCATGCTAATTATCTGAATGGTCAAATCCCCCACCAATTAAGCAAATACTGGAATTTCATGTTATTTTAGTCATTCTGTGTTACAGGTAGGAGTCCCTGGGTGGTGCAAATAGTTAAGCACTTGGCTACTGACTGAAAGTTGGCAGTTTGAACCCACCCAGAGAGCCACTTCTCAGAAGGAATGTTGGGCAATCCCATTTCTGTAGTGATAACCCCTCGGAAACCCAAGGAGGGGTCGCTATGAGTCGGGGCAGACTTGACAGCACATAACAACAACAACAACAGAAGAATGGCCTGGTAATCTGCTTCTGAAAAGTTATAGCCATGCAAACTCTATGAGGGAAATTCTGCTCTGACACATATTGGGTCACTATGAGTCAGAGGCCACTCAATGGCAACTGGTTTGGCTTTTGGATTATATTAAACATAAGAGAGAATATATGATGAATGTGATTTAAAATCATCAACCCTAGGACATCTTATCATTTCATAATAAAACTTTTTTTATTATTATGGTATTATGACAGTACAGTGATGTTTCAACTTCATTATATCCTGAGTATAGGTATTTGTACTACATTTATCATGTATTCCACCTTCATGGTAATTTGTAAGGCAAAATTTTCTTTGTTCAATGGTGAGTCAATCTAATTTTTTTAAAAATTATGTTGCTTTTGTTCCTTTTATTGGTACACATAAAACCATTTTTTGTGTTAATCACAGTATCATTTAACACATATTGTCTTAAACTTCCAAGTGGACTGAGCCCTAAAAGTTTTTAGTTAATTATCTAGTAGAAATTTGAGCATTTTTACCTATAAGAATAATTTTATTCATGTTATTAGATCTCCAGAGTAGCCCAGAAGTCTGTTTAGCCCCTACTATCATTAAACATGGACCTCTGGTGGCTTGATGCCTAAGGAATTTGACTGCTAACCAGAAGGCTGGTGGTTCAAATCCACCAGCCATCCCTCAGAAGGAATGCTTGGCAATCTACTTCCATAGTAATGCTGCCTCAAAACCCAAGGAGGGGTTGCTGTGAGTTTGGTTCGACTCATGGCAGTATGTTTGGTTTGGTTTGGTCATTAAACATGGGAGCTCTGGTGGCATAGTGCCCAAGACATTTGACTGCTAACCAGAAGGCTGGCAGTTCAAACCCACCAGCCACTTCTTGGAAGAAAAACCGGGCAATCTGCTTCTGTGGTGATATTGCCTCAGAAACTCAAGGAATCGACTCAACAGCAGTGAGTTTTCATTTATTTATTTATTTATTTATTTTTGGTCATTAAGCATAGTTCTAATGATGTTAATACATGTTCTGAGTTTTGGAACAAGGAGGAGGAGGGGGGACAAAGGAGATGAGAGGAGAAATAGAGGACATAGTACAGTGAGAAGGTTAGATAGAGGAAGGCAAAGAAAGAGAAAGATGTGAAAGAAAGGGGCTAGAAGAGAAAGAAATTTTCCTATGTTTAGGCCTTGCTCTAAGTAAAATTTTAAGATATGCAATTATGTTTTTGTGTGTCCTCCAATTTTCATTTCTGTGTCCCCTTCCTCAGATACAAATGCTCTCATTTGGTCCTAAGTTCCTACCGTATCCATGCCTACTCTACCTCCAAGCTTCAACTCCCTCTCCCCCACACATACTCACAAACATACTCTCAAAACTCCTATTTCTCAATACTTCTGCTCTTAGCAAGGTATTTGGAAGCTATCCGTTTCAGAGAGCCTAATCATTTTGTGAAATTCACAGTCCCTAAAACTCTGAAATCTATCATTCTTTACTTAGAGGAGTTCCAGGCAATGTAACAAAATACAGCAGGGAAAAAAAAAAAAAATGAAGGCAATGCTTTAAAGGAAGTCTCTCTGGGCAACAGGCCCATGCCTTTCTGGACGATCCTCCCCTGTAAGCAGCTCCTGGTGTGTACTGCTTTCTGATATTTCTCCACAGACTTCCAGTTACAAGGACGTAGCCTCTACCTAGCACTCAATATGTTTCTGAACTGGATCAAGTTGGTTTTGTGGTTTCTTTTTGTTTTTCAAAATAGCTCCCGTGGTTGGGCAAAGCAGGGAGGGCTGCTTCTTTGTCCATGTGGCTTTTTTGTGAATGGGGGAGTAAGGGTGGGGGTAATGGAAGGATACAGTTGTAGGTAGAGGCACGTATGTCATGACCTTTATGCCAGATTCCTTGTTCAAATTATCCATACTTTGCCAAAGCTCCCAGTGGTTGGACACAATCACAACGTTAGTAAATAAAGGTGACAACCTAGCTTTTGTTGCCTGGAATCTGGACAGTTTTAAAGTAAGAAAAGTAAGGAAAGTTGTTGGTGATGTTAGCAACATTTTCAATACTATATGACTTTAAGGGTGATTCCCTGTTGAAAAGAGCCATATCTAAGAATGAGATATACATACATGTTTGCCAGTCTTTGTGCAACGACACGGACTTCTCTTTGTACTCACTCTCTCCACTATTGTGGATGAGTAAGCTCTGCTCTGATAATGGATGCTTGGCTTCCATGTTGATGCGAAGCCTCTTCAGACCCCAAATAGCCAAGTATTCAGTGGGGAGAGTGTTTGTACTGCACAGAGAAAGCTTTAGGTCCTGGACCAGGGTGAAGTTCAGCAGGAGGCCCAGTGTAGATGTGTCTGTGAACCAGATGGTGAGATGGCCATGGTAGTTGGTATCCTCTACTGAAAACGGCAGAACGGTTTTACAGCTGCACATTAGGTTGGCCAAACTATAGTCACAGTCTTGGATGTCTGCAGGGCAGCTGCAGTTCCGAATGGTATTTTCCTTTGTGAAAATCAGAGTGCTGTTCTTCCAACCTTTTGTGAAATGGCCAAATGCAAAGAGACCCAGGACACTGATCAGAAGGAGGCAGTGAGCAGAGGGTGGTGCCATTTTTGTTTCAGAGGGGACTAGTGTGTTTTTGTTCCTCCTTCTTGAGACAGCTTGTTGAGACTTAACTGAAAGAAAATACAACTTTGTTATCACAGTCTCTCATTAGAAACACATAGCCTACAGAAAAGGAACTCCCTAAATAAGAAATCTACCATCTGTCCAGCAGTTTGTTATACTGTGATAGCTTGCATGTTACTATGATGTTGGAAGCTATGGTACCAGTGTTTCAGACACTGGGAGAGACACCATGGTACATAGATTTCAGCAGAGTTTCCTGATTAATACAGACTAGGAAGAAAGGCCTGGTGATTTACTTCCAAAAATTAGCCAATAAAAACCTTATGGATGACAGCAGAACATTGTCTGACTTACATGCTTCAGACACATCTTCACTGGAAGAGGACATCATGCTTGGTGAAGTAGAAGGCCAACAGGGACAAGAGAGACCCTTGGGGAGATGGCTTGGCACAGTAGCCACAAAGATGAACTCAAATTCATCAACGATCATGAGGATGACTCAGGACTAGGCAACGTTTCATTCTGTTATACATGAGTTGTTATCATGCAGTGCATGAAGCCCAAGCACAGGGAGTGTTCTCTTTTCCCAGAGCCATGGCAAAACCCCTGAACTCTGCTATCTGAGCATGAAACTCCCAGTGGTGTTGGCTGACAGTGAAAATAACAGCATGAGAGTGAGGTTGGGTGCCAGAGAGGGGCCAACTGCCTCCCATCCTCAGGGAGGGATGTGGAGTTATTTGAGTGAGCACATCTTCCAGACATCCAGTTACTAGTATTTAGGACTTGTAACCCCCATAAACATGCATGTGCTTTCCTCTCTGTCTGTATCTGACTTCCTGGAATTCAGAGACAAACAGTTCCTTGTTGGATTCAGCTACCCAAGTGGTACCTGTTAAACAACATAGCATTAATACCAATAAAACCTTTGGTTAATGTTGTTGTTGTTGTTAGGTGCCGTTGAGTTGTCTCTGACTCATAGTGACCCTATGCACAGCAGAACAAAACACTGCCTGGTCCCATGCCAGCTCCATGATCCATGCTATACTTGAGCCCATTGCAGTAGCCACTGTGTCAGTCCATTTCGTTGAGGGCCTTCCCCTCCCTTGTTGATCCTCCACTTTACCAAGCATGATATCCTTCTCCAGGGAATGGTCCCTTCTGACAACATGACCAAAGTAGGTGAGACGAAGTCTGGCCATTCTCACTTCCAAGGAGCATTCCTGCTGCGCTTCCTCCAGGACAGATTTGTTAGTTCTTTTAGCAGCCCATGGTGCTTTCAGCATTTTTATGAAATGCTGTTGGTTAATGGTAAACATTAATTTCTAATTAAATGAATATGTCCCCCCCACCAACAATTAATCTGTTTATAGATCCATTCATGCTTTTCCTAGCCCCCTAGAAAAGTGAAGTGTGAGTCCCTTGTTAATAGACAATGAAGAGGTCAATAATGCACCACTATGGACTGCCAGAAGAATGAACAAATCAGCCAAGTAAACTTGAACAGAAGGTGAGATGTTGGTTCAAACAATCATAACTCCATTTGTTCATTCACTCAACAAATGCTTATTGAGAGTTAACTATATGGTAGACACTTTGTCAGCCTTGGGGATATAGTCCAGAACAGGATAATCCAGGTCCCAGCCTTCATGCAGCTTATGTTCTGATGGGCTTGATCCTGCCTCTTGTTGCCTGTGGTGCACAAGGCTGGGATAGGCCTGCATGTGAGGACCACAAGGGAAAAGGAGGGAGGCTGAGGCAAGAGTCAGGTAGGGCCATTACTGACAATGTGCTAGGTCATTGCTTAGGTCCAGTAGAGGAAAAAAGATAAACAGGACATGGGCCCTGCCCTCCAGGGTCTTAGACTCAAAGGAAGAAAACAAGTAAGACTGAACTGAGAAGGACTACACTGAAAATACAAAAAATTATAAGATCATAGCAGAAACACAAATTAAATTCTATTTGGGGAACAGGATAAGGCAGTTAAGAGTTTTGTGTTTATTTTGAAGTTGGAACATAATTCTTTTAAGTGATTTATTAATAGGTACATCTTGTAATAAAAGAAAGGGCTTAAAGCAACTAGTGGAGCCTGAGTTTTCCCTGAACAATAGATTTAGCAGTTAGAGTGTGATAGTAACAACCCCACTTAGTAAGGAACAGTGAATAATTTATTCAAGATAATTTTAGATGATCAGCTGTCCTAGATTTCACAAGAGGTTTCTGGGACTACATCTCCCAGGAACACTGTCATCCCAGAATTAGGAATAGGAATGTTGCCCTCAGTACCATTGGTCCACTCTGACCCCAGCCTTAAAGGGAAAGTGAGGAAAGATGGTCTATACGTGGGCCTAAGACACCCTTTCAGATGTTCCATACTGTTTAGAAACATGGAAGAGAAGAAGGGTGGGAGGGAAGGATAATGATGTCCTAGAATATGTGGGGCTGGACATTCCCACAGATGTCACAGAGATTTGTGAGTAGCTTTCTAATAGTCGAGACTCTGGCTTAATCTCAGGGAGGTCCCTGCCTCCTAGACATCAAAAACCAACACCCAACCAGTTGCTATTGAGCTAGTTCTGACTAGTGATGACCCCATGTGTGTCAGAATAGAATTGTGCTCCACAGGTTTTCAGTGGTAGATTTTTTTAGAAGTAGATCACCATGCCTTTCTTACAAGACACCTCTTGTTGGACTAAAACCTCAAACCTTTCAGTTAGCAGCCAAACACATTAATCATTTGTACCATCTATCACGGAGGTCTAAAGGTCAGAAAGAGGAGGCCAGATGCAGGAAGCCTAACAAAGTGGGACAGATACCTCTAGTAATAGTTTATGAAGGTACCACAAAGATACAAGTTGGACATTATCTACTTCAGTTTTACCCTGAATTTCTTTCTTTAGACTTGTTGAATGGGGATGGCAAGAGGGTACTTTAGTTCACTATGTATTTATTCATTTGTGGCCATATTCCAGTGGGACATGACCAGAATGGACATAAATATATTGCATTGCCTCTGCCCCTTTTCTATGCCCTGCTCATCGGGGTAGAGTACAGTAAGGCTCGTATTAGAAAAAAGGCAAGTCTCAATTATGGAACACAAAAGATGGAATGTTGAAGATACGTTGTGTCAGCCCAGCAACAGTCAGAGGATGCAAGCTCAGCAGTACCCCTGACTCCCCTCTCCCACTGCAACCACAGGGCCCATCAATCTCCTCTGCCCTGCTTTTGGAATTCTCAAGTCCTTGCAACTCTATGCTAATTATATAAGTAATTCTTTTCCATACAAGAAATATTCTCCTGCTCAGATATTACTTACTTTTTGAAGCCACCTTCCTCCTACCTGGGAGCTCTGGTGGTGTAATGCCTAAAGCACTTGACTGCTAACCAGAAGGCTAGCGGTTCAAACCCAGCAGCCATTCCTTGGAAGGAAGATTGGGCAATCTACTTCCATAGTGATACCACCTCGAAAACCCAAGAAGGGGTCACTATGAGTCGGCCCCGACTCCATGGCAGTGGTTGTGTTTGCGTTTCCTCTTACCTATTCTCAGAAAAAAATGCACACTTTAACAATTAAAAAAAAAAAAAAAAAAACCCAAACCCACTGCCATTGAGTTGATTCCAGTGAACTGCCTATAGGATTTCTAAGGCTATAAATCTTTACAGAAGACTGCTACATCTTTTCCCATGAAGCAGCTGGTGGGTTCAAACCACCAACATTTCAGGTAGCAGCTGAGTGCTTTAACCACTACACCACCAGAGCACCCTGAAGACTTAACACCCCATGCAAATTGTTTTTATCACACTGTAATGTGATTATTGTTTCAAGTGTATGCTCCACTGGAATGTCACCTTTCTTTTTTGACTTTATATTTAGTTTCCAACATAGTACCTAGTACATAGCAAGGTTTCAACAAATGTTTATTGAATGAACAAATGAATGAAAAAAGCATAGTTTACCAAATGTTAGTGTACTGAGTCTTTTAACTACTCAAACTCACTGCCATTAAGTTGATTCAACTCATGGTGAACCCCATTAGTATCCAAGGCTGTAAAGTTTTACAGAAATAGATTGTCTCATCTTCCTTCCGCAGAGCAGCTGGTGGGTTTGAACTGCTGACCTTTTGGTTAGCAGCCAAGTACCTTACCCACTTATACCACCAGAGCTCCTTCTTTTAACTGCTAGTCACAAAAATCCAATTCAGACTAGATTAACTTGAGTTAAAAACAAAACAAGCTTTACACATTTGAAAAATTACGGTAGTGTTTCAAGCATGGCTTGATCTAAGTGCACAAAAAGATGTGGTCAGGAAATGGTCTCCATTTCTTGCCTCTGCTTTCCTCTGTTTGGGATTCATTCTCAGACAAGTTCACCCCTTTTGGGAACAATATGGTCACCAGAAAATTCAGATTTTCTTTGACCAGTTGATCAACTCCCAGAGGAAAAAGTCCCCCTTTACCAATGTTGTTGCTAGGTGCCATCAAGAACATTCCAACTCATAGTGAACCTATGCACAACAGAACAAAACAATGCCCAGTCCTGTGCCATCTCAAAATCGTTGTTACACTTGAGCCCATCATTGTAGCCACTTTGTCAGTCCGTCTCATTGAGTCCCCTTTTTCACTGACCCTCTACTTTACCAAGCATTATATCCTTCTCCAGGAGCTCTTGTGGCATGCTACCTAAGGCATTTGACTGCTCACCAGAAGGCTGGCGGTTCAAACCTTCCTTGGAAGAAAGGTTGGGCAATCTACTTCCGTAGTGATACTGCCTCGGAAATCCAAGGAGGGGTTGCCAACTCGACAGCATGTCACGTTGTCATCATCACATATCCTTCTCCAGGGACTGGTCCCTTCTGATAAGTGGCTAAAATGGGCCAAAATCTGGCCATTCTCACTTATAAGAAGCATTCCAGCCATATGTCTTCCAAGATAGATTTGTTTCTTCTGCCATTTTCATATTCTTCACCAACACCACAATTCAAAAG